AAAAAGAGTCATGTACCAAAATGTTCATTGCAGCTCTATTTACAATAGCCAGGTCATGGAAGCAACATAAATGCCCATCAACAGACAAATGGATAAAGAAGATGTGGTACATACATACAATGGAATATTACTCAGCCATAAAAAGGAACGAAACTGGGTCATTTATAGAGACATGGATGGACCTAGAGACTGTCATACAGAGTGAAGTAAGTCAGAAAGAGAAAAACAAATATTGTATATTAACGCATATATGTGGAATCTAGAAAAATGGTACAGATGAACCTGTCTGCAAGGCAGAAACAGAGACACAGATGTAGAGAACAAACGTATGGACACCAAGGTGGGAAAGGAGGGGTGGGATGAATTGGGAGATTGGGATTGACATATATACACTAATACATATAAAACAGATAACTATTGAAAAAAAAATAAACATCAACTTTTGTGTATAGTTGAATAAAGGACAAAGTTCCAATGATCTCTATTTTTAAAAAATTATTTTAAAACAATGATTCTCCACTTTAGCTGCATATTACAATCACCCAAGGAGCCTTAAAAAATACTGATGTCTGGGTCCCACCTCCCTGTGGTTCTGATTTAATTGCTCAAGTTCCTCAGATGATTTTTTTTAATTAAAATTTTTTTCCAGCTTTACCAAGATTTATATTATAATGCATATATCACAAATACATCATGTAAGTTTAATGTGTAAAATATGAGTTGATACATGTAAATATTGCAAAATGATTACCATGATGTGGTTAGTTAACACATCCTTCATCTCAAATAATTACACTCCAGGTAATTTTAATTACAGTCAAGGCTGAGAATCACTGCTTCAATGTTTACAGAGGTAGAAACTAGATGATAGCAAATAAAGTAGGTGTTTCCTAAAGCCAAGATTTCAAAGTAATAACAGTTCCATTTGTGAAATCAAACTTGTTTCACAGAGGCATTGTGGAACACAGATGGCCTACTAGCCTCAACTAAAAAACTTAGGCTAGGGCTTCCCTGGTGGCACAGTGGTTGAGAGTCCACCTGCCGATGCAAGGGACGCGGGTTCGTGCCCCAGTCCCGGAGGATCCCACATGCTGCGGAGCGGCTAGGCCCGTGAGCCATGGTCGCTGAGCCTGCGCGTCCGGAGCCTGTGCTCCATAACGGGAGAGGCCACAACAGTGAGAGGCCCGCGTACTGCAAAAAAAAAAACTCAGGCTAATTCACTCTAGGGTCTGTTGGTGGTAAGAACAATCAGTAAAAATTGTACTGCTCAGGAATCACAACTATTAGAGGATCTTTGCCTTGAGAAGATTATTTTGTGCAGTGTACTAGGGACACTTTCCTTTCATCCTTCAGGACACAGGTCAAGCTCACCTCTTCTGGGAAATCCTTCCGAAACTCCCAGTACACAGAGATAAGAATTCTTTCCCTTTGATTTTTTACAGTTCTTTACTGTCTGACCCACTTCTTAGGGAGTTAAGTAACACTAAAATAGTAATTTACATGTTTATATTTCCTTTACCAACAAGCCCTGTGCTAGAAATCTATCTTGTTCCATAACAAGTTGTATGTAAGTTCCTCAAACTTCTTGCTGCCCTGCACCTGTCTTACGTGACCTTGCGAAATCTGGCCCAGGCACCTACTTCTCCAGCCTCACTTTATCACTCTGCAACTTCAACTTCTTAACGCTGGAACTCTAGCCACAGTGGCCTTCTTGCAGTTCCTTGGATGTACCATGCTCCTTCCTACCACACATCTTTTGCATATATCATTCTCGCTGCCTGGAATTTCCTCTACCAAGCTACTCATCCATAAGATCTTCACTCATTCATCAAGTCCTCAGAGAAGCCTTAAACTAAGTCGAGTCTCTCTGTTAAACATTCTCAAAAGTAGTATTGTATATCTTCTAGATTCTTAGCACTATGCAGTTTAAAGCATATGTATGTATGCATATTATATGTTAATATATGTATATGAGGACTTCCCTGGTGGCTCAGTGGTTAAGAATCCGCCTGCCAATGCAGGGCACACGGGTTCGAGCCCTAGTCTGGGAAGATCCCACATGCCATGGAGCAACTAAGCCCATGTGCCACAACTACTGAGCCTGCACTCTAGAGCCTGCGAGCCACAACTACGGAAGCCCACGTGCCTAGAGCCCGTGCTCCGCAACAACAGAAGCCACCGCAATGAGAAGCCCACGCACTGCAACGAACAGTAGCCCCCACTCACCACAACTAGAGAAAGCCTGCACGCAGCAACGAAGACCCAATGCAGCCAATAAATAAATAAATGAATAAATAAAATACAAAAAAATATGTATATGAAATATAAATATATTTAAAGCATATATCCATGACATATGAAACTTCATTGTTTGACTCCCTCACTAAATTACAAGCTCCATGAGGGCAAGAGCATGCCTGTTTTGCCTCACCATCAAATCCCCATGTCCAGCACAGTTCAGAGTATGCACTGAATAAAATATTTATTGAATGAATAAAAAAGAGTGACTCAAAATAATTTCTTACATTCTATTTTTTAAAGTCTACATTTACAAATAATCTAAGAACTGAAATGTTTTAAAATGTTTATAACTAAACTTTCCTTCTCCTTTTTTGAGATCAATAATGGTTGCACAAAAAAAAGGAACCCTCCTACACTGTTGGTAGGAATGTAAATTGGTGTAGTCACTATGGAAAACAGTATGGAGGTTCCTTAAAATACTAAAAATACTGTTACCATATGATCCAGCAATCCCACTCCTGGGCATATAACTGGAGAAAACTATAATTCGAAAAGATACATGCACCACAATGCTCACAGCAGCACTATTTTACAATAGCCAAGATATGGAAGCAATCTAAATGTCCATCAACAGAAGAATAGATTAAGAAGATGTGGTATATATACACGATAGAATACTACTCAGCCATAAAAAAGAAAGAAATATTGCCATTTGCAGCAACATGGATGGACCTACAGATTATTATACTAAGTGAAGTAAGTCAGACAGACAAAGGCAAATAGCATATATCACTTATATGTGGAATCTAAAATATGAGACAGGGGCTTCCGTGGTGGTGCAGTGGTTAAGAGTCCAAATGCCAATGCAGGGGACACAGGTTCAAGCCCTGGTCCAGGAAGATCCCACATTCTGCAGAGCAACTAAGCCCGTGCACCATAACTACTGACCCTGCACTCTAGAGCCTGCGAGCCACAACTACTGAGCCCACGTGCCACAACTACTGAAGCCCGCATGCCTAGAGCCCATGCTCCGCAACAAGAGAAGCCACTGCAATGAGAAGCCCGTGCACAGCAATGAAGAGTAACCCTCGCTCGCTGCAACTAGAGAAAGCCTGCGCACAGCAATGAAGACCCAACGCAGCCAAAAAATAAAATAAAATAAATTTATTTTAAAAAAATATGAGAAAAATGAACTTATGTATGAAACAGAAACAGACTCACAGACATAGAAAACAAATTTATGGTTTTCAAAGGGGAAAGAGGGAGGGATAAATTAAGAGTTTGGGATTAGCAGATACAAACTACTATATATAAAATAGATAAACAACAAGGTCCTATTATATAACACAGGGAACTATATTCAATATCCTGTAATAAACCATAATGGAAAAGAATATAAAAAAGAATTACTTTGCTGTATATAAGAAACTAATACAACATTGTAAATCAACTATACTTCTATAAAAAATAAATAAAATAATGCTCAAAAAAGATACCTTGTAATTTTGGTCACAGTATTCATTTCTAGGCCATCCCTGACTCTGCCCCTGGTAGGATCAAATGATACTTCTGCTTAAGCGGTATAGGAAGTAGGGGAAGAAAAATGGGGCTCTGGAATTAGACAGATGTAGATCCAAATGTTGGTTCTAACTAATAGTAAATCATGGGCTTCCCTGGTGGCGCAGTGGTTGAGAGTCCTCCTGCCTATGCAGGGGACACGGGTTTGTGCCCCGGTCCGGGAAGATCCCACATGCCGTGGAGCGGCTAGGTTCGTGAGCCATGGCTGCTGAGCCTGCGCGTCCGGGGCCTGTGCCCCGCAACGGGGGAGGCCACAACAGTGAGAGGCCCGCGTAGCACACACACACACAAAAAAAAGTAAATCATGTAATTTCTATGACTCTGTTTCTCACCTATAAAATAGAGTTAATATCTATCTATAGATATTAGCATATACAATATAAAGCACATATAGGATACAATGTATGTTAGAAGAATATTAGTTTTCCTTAACTTGTTATAATTCTATCCTTCAAAGTCTGATTCAGATACCATCTTCTATCAAGTCTAAAATTCTCCAGCTAGAAAAAATTTCTCCTACTTTCTTACAGCAACTACACTGATCCTTGGCTTTATAGTTATAACATCACTACTACCATCAGGCTCCTTGGAGGCAAATCCTATATCTTTTTCATCTTTGAATCCCAAGCTGTACCAAGTCCAACAGATGTTTCCTAAACGGAATTTAAACAATTAGGCATGAGAAACCTTAAGAAAAACAAAATTTTACCATTTCTACAATAGACATCTCCTTGGAGAACTTGCTCTCCCATCAGATACTCAATTCAACAAGGAGCATCCCTAGTTTCTTTGAAGTGATCCTTTAGAAATGGTATGTTTAAGTGGTTCAAAATATCTAAACATTATCATCATGTGAACTATCATTTATCCAGGGCCTACTATATGACTTTCACTTTACATATATAATTATTAATCTTCAGAAGAATTTTGCAAGGTACGAATCATATCTATTTTATAAATAAATGTAAATTCAAAAAAGTTACAGCATAGCTTGCTCTGGGTTGTGAAGCAAGTAAGCTGGATTTTAATTAGGACTCTAACTCTAAAGCAAGCCCTTTCCACTACATAATGTCCTGTTTCATGAACATGTTCCATGTGTTATTAGACATTCACCTTAATGGAGTCTTATGCAACTAAAACATTGGTGAGCCAGACAAAGGAATATATTTTTAAAGTCTAACCTTCAAATGTCCTTCGCCTGTGAGGAATTCAGAGTAGCCAGCGTCAGTGGCCAGCAAACCTACAAACTGCATGCTGGGCCGTTGTTGTATAAAGGCTTCGACAGCTTTATCTGTCACATGCTTCCTCCCAGAGACATCCAGGGAGACGAGGTTGGGCAGGATGTCCTTTTGTTCTAGTAATCGAAGAGCTATGTCTGATGTAAACTGTTTATCATCTGAAATATCAAGATGATTCAGATGTCTTAGTTCCCGAACAACATCCAGTATCTGGGTAGTTGTCATTTTTAAACATTTCAAGTGATGCATGGTTAGAGACTTGAGTCGGTCTTTGCAGGCCAGCAGAGCCGTGATGTCTGTGATCGAGGTGTTAGAAATATCCAGGCTCTCTAATCTTGGCAATGAGGCAACTTCAGCCAGGTCTTCATTATAAAAGAGAACGTTGGTGATGCTTAATGCTCGAAGGCCAGAAAGCCGGCTAAAGCACCGTTCATAAGGATCTTCGAGTGAGAGAGTTAATGAATTCAGCACTAGGCACTGGAGATTTTGCTGGATCCATTTGTTACTGCCAAGCCCACTGATAATGTCTGTAATTGTGATATCAGCATTCACACCTGTGGCATCAAGTTCCACTAACTTGTGGTGGCAGAAGGCTTTCCGGAACGCAACGGCAGAGATCTTGGCTTTGCGAATGCAAGCTCGTTTTAAGCGCATCTGGTTGCCCCTAAAAATACCTACAGTTGCATCATTCAGGAGACCTAGGAAAAAACAAGCAACATTTTAACTTCAAAAAACGGTTAAAGGATAGCTAAAATTTCCAAAGCACTCCCATGTAACAATATTTCATTTAACTGACATAACAATTCAGTGAGGTAAGAATATGATTATCTACAATTTATAGATGAGTAAACTGGGGTTCAAAAAAGTGGCCTTCCGGGCTTCCCTGGTGGCACAGTGGTTGAGAGTCTGCCTGCCGATGCAGGAGACATGGGTTCGTGCCCCGTTCTGGGAAGATCCCACATGCCACAGAGTGGCTGGGCCCGTGAGCCATGGCCGCTGAGCCCGTGAGTCCGGAGTCTGCGCTCCGCAACGGGAGAGGCCACAACAGTGAGAGGCCCGCGTACTGAAAAAAAAAAAAAAAAAAAAAAAAAAAAAGGGCCTTCCAAAAAAAAAAAAAAAAAAAAAAAAAAAAAAAAAGTGGCCTTCCAAGAGCACAGAAATAGCACATGGCAGAATCAGGACTGTGGTAGACACTACTGATATTTATTAACATCTGGTTCTCCTCCCCTTCCTGGACACACGGACAACTACGTTTCCCAACCTACCCTTGGACTTAGATGGGGCTATGTGCCTAGATCTAGCCAATGGTATACCAGAGCCAAGTACAAAGTATCATGAAAGCAAAGAAAAGGAAATAATCCATGATGCCTGGAGATCTGAAAAAGACTTCATGGAAAAGGCGATCTTTGAGAAAGTCCTTCAAAGATGAAGGAAAAGTTCAAAGATAGAGAAAGAAGGTGAGGGGAATTAAATGAAGAATAAACAGCATCAACAAAGCCTTAGAATACCTATGGCAAATCATTATGCTGTACACCTGAAACTAATATAATGTTACGTGTCAATTATATCTCAATTTAAAAAATAGAAAAAAAAAAAAAACAGCCTTAGAGATGTGAAAGCCCAGCACACAGTTAGAAAACAACAAGTAGTTCTACACTGCTTGAACATAAGAAACAGAGCTATAAGGTGTCTCCCTGGTAAAGAGAGGAAAAAGAATTATAGGGGAAAACCTAGATATGAGTGAGAACATGGTACATTTCTGGAAATTTAAGTATGGAAGTGGGAAGAGAAAAGAAATGAGGCTAGATCACTCTGAAAGGTGAAGAGAAGAAACCAGACCAGCTAGGGGTCTTGGGACACAAAGAACAATACATTGGATACTGGGTTTTTTCCTTGCACCATACATCCCAGGCTTAAAGTCAAAGAAGTGGACAATTGGTAAATACCAACAAGCACACACAAAAGTAGCTCCCCCCCAAAATCTGCTCACTCTAGCCAAAGTATCAGGAATGGGGCAGCCTAGCAAGGCAGGCAACTTTTAGACAGTAACTACTTTACTTCAGTCAAACACCAAAGAAAAAACTGTGGCCACACCCTCATTCACACCAGCAAATGCCAAGAGGGGAACCTAGACTTTCAATCTTGCTGTAACTAGTTGCCCCAGTCTCCCCACAGGGAGGTGTTACAGAAGGCTGAGTAGGGAGCCAGGACTTTCACGTCCATCTGGCAGTAATGAGGTGCTCCTCCCCCTCAGTGCTGGAGTGGTATCAAAGGAAGCCTAGTAGAGAGTCGAGACTTCATCACTGCCCAACAGTAAGTAATGAGGTCACCTCACCCCAACATGCTGTCAGTGGAGGCCAACTGAAGAAGAGAAATGAGGTACTCATACCTCCGTCAGCTAGGGCAGTATCAGTAGAGACCTAGTGGGGAAACAGAACGCCAATCCCCTGCACAGCAATAATGAGGAGCCCCAAGTCTTGGGTGTCAACAGAAGTCAAGTGGGGAACCAGAATATCATCCCAATCTGGCGATAACAAGGCAGTGCCTCCACCTTCCACTGCTAAAGTGGTGTCAGAAACACAGACTAAAACAGTAGTGTCATGTAGTCTCCAAAACAGTAGTCTCCAAAATGTCCAGATTTCAATAAAAATTCACTCATCATACAAAGGACCAGTACAATCTCAAACTGAAAAAAGACAATCTATAGATGTCAACACTGAAATAACAGAAATGTTACAATTATTTTATGAAGATCTTAAAGGAACCATCATAAAAAAGCTAAAGCGTGCAATTACAAACATGCTTGAAACAAATGGAAAACAAAAAGCCTCAAAAAAGAAATAGAAGATATAAAGAAGAACCAAAGGGAGGGCTTCCCTGGTGGTGCAGTGGTTAAGAATCCGCGTGTCAATGCAGGGGACACGGGTTTGAGCCCTGGTCTGGGAAGATCCCTCGTGCAGCGGAGCAACTAAGCCCATGCGCCACAACTACTGAGCCTGCACTCTAGAGCCCATGAGCCGCAACTACTGAGCCCGCATGCCACAACTACTGAAGCCTGCGTGCCCAGAGCCCATGCTCTGCAACAAAGAGAAGCCACTGTAATGAGAAGCCCACGCACCAAAACTAGGAGTAGCCCCCACTCACCACAACTAGAGAAAGCCCACGTGCAGCAATGAAGACCCAATGCAGCCAAAAATAAATAAATAAAATAAACAAAGGAAAATTTTAGAATTGAAAAATACAGTAATGGTTGGGCTAAACAACAGAACAGAAGGAACAGAGGAAAGAATCAGTGAACTAAAAGATAAAAAAATAGAAATTACCCAAACCTAAAGAACAAGAAAAAAAATAGGCTAAAAAAAAAAAAAAAATGGAACAGAGCTATTTGTCCCAGAGGAGAAACAGGGTAGGGTTGAAAAAGTATTTGAAGAAATAATGGCTACATACCTATCAAAATGACAGAAATAAAAAATAGTAATAACACCAAATGCTGGCAAAATGCAGAGAAACTGGGTCAGTCTTATATAGTTACGAGTGTAAAATGGCGAAGCCACTTTGGAAACAGTTTGGCAGTTTTTTAAAACCTAAACATGCAACTACCATGGAACCCAACAGTAGCACTCCTGGGTATTTATCCCAAAGAAATTAAAACTTATGTCCAAATAAGACCTGTACATGGATGACTACAGCATTATAATATTCATAATATTAGATATTATATTCACAATAGCTAATAGATATTATATTCATAATAGCTAATAGTTAGATATTTTATTCATAATAGCTAAATAGCATTATCATTAGGTGGTAAAATTCTTATTCTGATTCCTAGCTTTTATCCACACATTTCCTGGAAGATTTTTAACTTTGAGACAACAGACACAATGAGCAAAGATTATGACAAGAGAATCACAGAACCAAATAAGTAAAACTCTTTAGTGTCAGTCTTATTTTAATAAGGATTGCCACCAATATCATTAATCCTTTGAGTCGGGTATATAAGTAAAATTTTTTAATGTAAATAAATTATTTTTTTAAATCATTATGCTATTAGAAAAAATATATTATCAATTTTAAAAGCATTCATAGGGAATTCCCTGGTGGTCCAGTGGTTAGGACTCCACGCTCTCACTGCCAGGGGCCTGGGTTTGATCCCTGGTCAGGAAACTAGGATCCCACAAGCCACATGGCACAGCAAAAAAATGAAAAAAAAAATTCACAGAACAACTTTTTTCCCATTTTATTATGAAAATTTTCAAACACACAAACATTTATCAAACAACTTTTTAAAATTGTGACAAGAATTTGTTCTTTTACATATTAGCAGTATCCACTCCTGACTGAAGGTGGATATGATTTTTACAAAGGGATTAAATAATTCAGAACACTTTTTGGTGAAAAAGGCAGGTAATCACACTGGGGAAACACAAATGGGGACAGCACATTGTTTCTCTGACTCTCACTTTCCTCATCTGGAGGCAGTTTGAAAAAAAGAGGTAGAAAACACATTTTGATCAAGCATATAGCCTCCCCAAGATATTACTCTGGAGGACAATTATTTAGTTACATTTACTTAAAAACTACTTTCATTATTTTATCCACATAAAGCATTTGCCACAGTCCCTGGTATATAATAGGCATTCAATAAATGTTAGCTGCTATTATTAACCAATAGTAGTCATATTTCAAAAGGAATCTGGCAAAGTTAAAACTTCAGTTAACATTTATTCTTTTGATTGACAAGACCAGTTATATATATAAATATTTAAATTGAGCTTGGTAAGTGTAATCATTCAATTGAGACCAGAAAGAAATGTTAGCACTGGCATGATCTCTTAAATTGTTGTGCAGCTTTGTAGGGGACCTTTAACTTTTTTTTTTTTTTTGCGGTACGCGGGCCTCTCACTGTCGTGGCCTCTCCCGTTGCGGAGCACAGGCTCCGGACGCACAGGCTCAGCGGCCATGGCTCACAGGCCCAGCCGCTCTGCGGCATGTGGGATCCTCCCGGACCGGGGCACGAACCCGTGTCCCCTGCATCGGCAGGCGGACTCTCAATCACTGCGCCACCAGGGAAGTCCAGGGACCTTTAACTTTAACATGGATAATATCTACTGAAATTTACCCTAGTTCCTTTGGCAGGTTGGAAGAATTCAAAGACACTACAGACTTGAGCAGCTTAGTGAAAACCAAGGAATGTAGGTATCTTCTTCTTCCCTAAATTATTCCAAAATACCTCAATTACAGCCTTATTTCTCCCACCTTTCCTTGGAATGCATTATCTGCATTTGTGTTCGCTCTCCTCCTTCTCTCTCTCCCTCTCTCTCTCTCCCTCTCCCCCCCTCTCTCTCTCCCTCTCCCTCTCTCTCTCTCTCTCTCTCTCTCTCTCTCTCTCTCTCTCTCTCTATATATATATATATATATATATATATATGCCAGATAATGGTATACACTTTTGCTGCAACTTTAAATATATATGCCAGATAATGGTATACACTTTTGCTGCGACTTTAAGTATACATAATAAATTTATATATTTATATTTAATAAAATATATTTATAAATATATTTATGTTATTGGATTGTCCAAAAAGTTTGTTCGGGTTTTTCTGTAAGATGTTTTGGCCAACCCAATAGATGTGTATGTGTCTGTGTGTATCTACATATTTAAAGTCACAACAAAAGTGTATACCATCATCAGGCATCTAGGAGCAGGAATACCTCTAATGTAGGTATAGGAAGGTTGTGTGGCAGTGAAAATAGCATAGATTTAGAATCAAACAGATCTGCATTTGAACCACGACAGTTATTAACACTGTGACTCTTAACAAGTTACATCTCTGAACCTCAGTTTCCTTATCTGTATATAAATTGGATAAAAATAGCTATGTTACAGGTTTTTGAGAGAAGTCAAATTCAAGAAAAGCATATAAAATGCTTGGCATTATTACATGAAAGAGGCAATCAATAAATGATAATTATCATTACTGCCACATTTTCATTTTATTTTACAGTTGTGGGAAAATTGTGTTTCTTACTTGTAAGAGTTTATACACCCTAAATATATAAAGGCATTATATCTCTTTCAGCTTAAAACTTATATAGAGGTAACAAAAATTATCAATATACATAACCAGAATTTCACAGATAAATCTTTCATAATTTATTTTCAGAATTTGTTCTTGAAAACAGAAGTAATAAATTAGCTATGATTTCCCATTTCAAAGGTCAAAAGCAGAAACTAGTTTTTCCATAGTAGTATTTATTGATCTTCCTGCTGCCAAATGGTAATGTAAGGTGTCTTAGACCAGCAGACTTCTAAACTGCTATTTTGGAAGAGAAGTTATTTTTGCCTTGAAAATGGCTCCTCAAAACAAAACAATATAGAAGAAACAAACAAAAAAATGATTTGCCACATTAGAAAATAAAAATGCTTATCACAAATTATAAAGTAAATGGCAGGATTGGCAAAAATAAATGAATTCCTTTTCCTAGAATTAGGGTTTTCTGTTATTTCTACGAAAATCATTAAATGGCCACAGTAGCACTTCAAAATCCAATGCCAATTAACAGCACATAATTTTTGTTTCCTCTATTTATTTCATTTCTTACCATGAAAAGCCATGGTCTGAAGCAGCCGATCAGCCACCTCCTGTGGGAATACTCCAGGTTCCTGCAGACACAGTGTTCCATCTTGCCTTGCTGAGCAGAACTTCTCAAGGTGAGTAGTCAGGAAATTCAAGCAGATATCAAGTAAGGAATAAGGAGATGCCTCCTCCTTGGATCCCAGGAAGAAACAAAGGGAAAACAAAAGCCAACAAGTTAGTTTCCAGAAAAGTGGAGAACAAAAATATTCATTTCCTTGTTCAACAAGTACTTTTATTCAAATGTCTACCTTGTGCTAGATACGATACCGTGTTAGACAGTGGGAATACAACATGTGGTCCATGTTCTCAAGAAGCAGGAAAAGAGAAACATTTAAACAAATATTTACATAAAGTCTATTAAATACTAAATATAGAGGATATATTGGGTAGTCACATAAGCACATAGCAGAGTACCCTAATCAGTCAAGGATGGTCAGGGAAGACCTCAGAGGCACAGCAGATTAATCTTCCTAACTTACCAGCCCTAAATTACCCTCTACTGCTCAAAATGTCAATGGACTTCATGGAGCTGGAGACAAAAGACAAAATTCTTAGATTGTTAGAAAGACGATGCCTGAGTCCTTCCAAAATCTAGCCCCAATTTACTTTCCAAGTTAATCTCCCACAAAATTCCTATCCCAACCTAATAGTTCAAATATGATCAGTTTATTTGGGTAAAAGAATGTGCTGTAGGTGTTATCCTCAAAAAAGAAAAAGGTTAACCCAGTTATTCCAATCTGAGGAATAAAGAACTAATCAAATAAGCACAAAGATTAAGTATAAGGGTTTTAATTACAGAAATAAACACTCTAAATGTCCCCAACAACAATAATATAACTAAAATATAATTACAGTAGCTACCATCCGTTAGGTGCTTTCTATATGACTCTGCTGAGTGTTTAACATGAATTATCCATTATTTCATTTATTCCTCACCCCTACTTTACAAAGCAGTGAAGGATTATCTTCATTTTTGAATAACGGAAAACTGGCTCAGAAAACTAACATCTTTCTCAGTATTCTACACACAGTAAGTGACAAAGTGTAAACTAAGACCTGGAGCAACCAAATAAATAAATAAATAAATAATTTTTTAAAAGGTAAGTTTTAAAAATTACATAGTTTATAGAACTTCCTCAACCTGATAAAGGTCATCCATGAAAAACCCAATTAGTATCATACTTAATGTTGAAAGTCTGAATACTTTCCCCCTAAAATCAGGAATAAGACAAAGATATCTGCTCTCACCACGTCAAATTCAACATTGTACTGAAGGTCCTAGAATTAGGCCAAAAAAAAAAAAGGAAACCAAAAAGAAAGAAAAAGATAAAAAGAAATAAAAAGCATACAGATTGGAAAGGAAAAGTAAAACTGTCTCTATTTGCAGGTAACATAATTTTGCAAAAGAAAATCCTAAGGAATTCACACCAAAAAAACTATCAGATCTAAAAAAGAAAAACCAAAAACAAGTTCATCATGGTTATAGGATATAAGATCAATATATAAAAATACCTATATTTCTATTCACTTACAATTAAAAATACGAAAATGAAATTAAGGCAACAATTCCATTGAAAATAGCATTAGGACTTCTCTGGTGGCACAGTGGTTAAGAATCCACCTGCAAATGCAGGGGACACAGGCTCGATCCCTGGCCCAGGAAGATCCCACATTCTGCAGAGCAACTAAGCCCATGAGCCACAACTACTGAGCCTGCGCTCTAGAGCTTGCGTGCCACGACTACTGAGCCCATGTGCCACAATTACTGAAGCCCGCACGCCTAGAGCCTATGCTCCGCAACAAGAGAAGCCACTGCAGTGAGAAGCCTGCACACCGCAAGGAAGAGCAGCCCCCGCTCGCCACAACTAGAGAAAGCTCACGTGTAGCAACGAAGGCCCAATGCAGCCAATAAATAAATAAATAAATAATTTTTTAACTTATTAAAATGGTTACATACTTTACAGTTTACAAAGCGCTTTCACATTGACACATTTGATATTGTAATAACTGAGTAAGATGGACAACAAAGACATTATTTTTTAAGATGAGGAAACAGACTTCACAAAAGTTAAATGGTTGGCCCAATGAAGCAGAGACTGTGAGCTGCCAACCCTAAAACTTGTTCTTCTTTTCTTCCATGTTAATAAAACCTTTTATTTTTACCTGGGCACAGGACCACTTGTAACAAAGACTATATATCTTTGTATCCTCTGCAGCTAGGTGTAGCTAGGACAAATAAGAAAAAGTTCAGAGTAAGTAATTCTTCAAATTCAACTTCTGCATCACAGAACTTTGCCTATTCTGTCTTATTTCCTGTGTTGCAAGTATGAATTCTTTCTGCTTTTTCTACTCTTCATTGTACCATCTTTCTAAATGTCTAAAATTCATCACCCAGATGAAACAAGATGCCCTTTGACCTCCGTTGGTAAGTTTCAAAATGATCTATTTATTTTACAAAAGAGAAAATAAATGAAAGTTGGGTAACTATCAGAGGGGAGACATCTGAACCTTCTGAGTACATAATTTTTAGAAGTCATTTTAACAGAACAAACCCAGGTAGTAACATATGGACATTTATAATATTTAATTAATCATTCTAAAAAATTTTTTTCCAATTGATAAAATATGTCCACAAACAAAAACAGGTTTTTAGACCCCACAAATTTTTCCTTTTCAGAGAAAATTTCCCCTTATCTCTATGTTAATTCCGATTAGTAAGCATAAGACTTTTCTAGTCAGCTGCTCTTCTTTTGGGAAGTACATGTGCCTAATAGTTAATCCACCCGGGCTTTGGAGCTAGAGTGCAAGTCCCAACTTTTCATTTACTAACTGTGTGACATTACACAAGTTACCTATCCTTTCTGCTCCTAAGTTTTCTCATCTTATAATGTAGATAATAATAATACCTACTTCATAAAGTTGCTGTGAGGATTCAATGAGATAAAACAGGAACCAAAGAACTTAGAATAATGGCAGTGCGTCTGGAAACACAGAGCTTGTAGGGGTCAGAGGCAGGATTCAAACCCAGGAAATGTAGCTCCAAAAGCTTATGCCCTTATCCACCATAATATACTACCTTTTCAACTTTATATACAAATTCTAAATATGTTATCTCACCTGATACTCGAAGGTCTGTGATGTGAACAAGGATAATCATCTCCATTTAAAGAAGAAAACAGAGACGTTATATATCAAGCCAGGGCAGGACTAGAACTGTACTCAGATTATCTGAGATCTACTCCAAAAACCATATTGCCATCTGTGACTCTCCAAATTCCAGTACTTTAAGCTAACACAGAAGTACTGATAGATCAGTATTTCCTATTTTAGTAGTAGTAGTAGTAGTAGTAGAAGAAGCCGTGCTGCAGCTTGCAAGATCTTAGTTCCCTAACTAGGGATTGAACCCAGGCCATGGCAGTAAGTGCCGAGTCCTAACCACTGGACTGCCAGGGAATTCCCCTTATTTTTAAACACACAGCAGCAGTACAGGAGGACCAACAAAGAAAGGACAAAGCAGAAGCTGGAATTCCATGTCTAAACAATTCATCTCTTGGAAATTCCTGCTCAGAAAGATTTTTCCCTTCACCAATTAGGCATACCCTAGGCAAAGTAAAAACAAAGTTCCTACTAAAAAAAGCAGAAGGGAGAGAAGGTCAAGTCTGATTTAATTTGGATCATAAGGAGATCCACACAGTTCAAAGACTAAACAATTTCTAGGAAGAACAAACAGGAAAGTTCTTTCTAATTAATTGAAATGGCTTCTACTCAATCTGGACCAACCCAGCTCTTCACTGCATTGCTTTTATCCTATCACTCTCCTTAAAAAAATTTCAAAGGCTCCATATCATCTATAAGCACAGTTCTCATGCTGGGAACACATTCAAGGGGTTCCTAGCAGAAGTGTGCCAGGGGACTAAAGCTACAGTACTAACTTGGCACATTTTAGAATAGCAAACACACTCAAAGCTTATTTGAGGGGATGAGAGTATGGGAGGTTGGGGGAGAGGTAATCAAGTTATGCAACCAGTAAATAACTTAAAATATTTTTGTACTGAAACAAATATGTAAAAGGCAAACACTATATGAATTTTAAGATAAAACACAAGATTACCAAGAAATTCCTGTCTGTAACACTGGTTTCAAGTAATACCCTTTTCTATCCCACAGCAAATTTAGTTCCCTCTGCTGTTAGAAGTTGGAAAAACAGAGACCTAAAGAATAAAGTGTAAACAATTTAGTAAGGTATTCGAAACGTTTACTAACTGGCTCCAACCTTCCTTTCTAGCCGCATTTTCCACTTTTTCCTTCTCCCTCCAAACATGCTACCTACTAGATATACTAAACTGAGCGTTCTCTAAAGCAACCTACTATTTACCATCACTTCCTAAGCACTTTAACAGGCACTTTCACACCTCTGAGCCTTTTTTTAGATTAGTCCTTCTATGTGGCAAAATCTCACACATCCTTCAACATTCAGTTCTGTGAATATCTTTCCTAATTTCCAGGGCAGAATTAATTTGACCCTCAGCACCTGGGTAATTAATCTGCACCATTAACTATTAGCTATTATGTACTGAATGACAGTTGTGTGGTACCAGGCACCAATCCAGCAACTTTATATATACTTGCAATCTTCCAGACAACGTTGTTTTGAACAAAGTAGGTAAACTAAGGCTCAGAAAGATTAATTTACTATGAAAGATAACAGAGCCAGCAGATGGCAGAGCAAGAATAAAAATTACAAGAGTTATCATTCATGAAACACTATGTCTCAGGTCCTGGGTCAGAGCTCTTTAGATACATGAGCTCTTTCAATTTCTAGATTCTATGAATCAAGCACCATTACAATATGCATTTTAATGAGGAAACTGAGGTTTAGGTTAAATATCTTCCCCATATACACATGGCTAGCATGTTGATAAACTGGAACTCCAACTCAAAAATGAGGCCAAAGCTTATATTTTTAAGCTCTTACGCCACTATACTATAATAATATCATAAACATAATTATTGGGCTCATTATTTGTTAACATATGCTATGTGCTATATGCAATAAACTATGCTAAGTACATTACATATATAATTTCATTTACTTCTCATTAAAATTCTGTAAGTTCTATCAGTATCCCCATTCTATGAAGACGAAGACACTGAGGCTTTAAGGGGTTTATTAATTTGCCCAAGATGATACAGCTAATAAGTGCCAGAGCCAGGATTAGACCCCAGGAAATCTGATTCTAGAGTTAAGTCTGTGCTTTTACCACTACATAGGCTGCCCTTTATATCTGACTCCAAAGCTAGTTTTCTTTTATAATTCTATGTTACACCATAGTTACTTATGACTGTATCTGTCTCCCCCACTAGACCATGATGCTGTTCAAGTTCAAGGAACATATTAACCCTTTCTGTATATCCTTAGCAGCCAAAACACTCCCTGATATTTACCTGTTAAAAGAAAAAAAGAACGAGTTCAAATTAGAATAGTGGTAAAGATACTTGCCCAGAGTTAGAGTATTTGTAAGAAGTGGGGCAAAGATGCAAACCTAGGTCTACTGATTATGAAGTCCATATCTTTTCCACTATACGGTACCATACCTCAGGACAATTATTAGTTTGTCACTGACATAAATGCCAAAAAACAACTTGGAGACCTGTTGGTTGTTGCAGTGACTCACACATGAGGTGATAATGCTATAGATTAGGATAGAAGCAAAGAAAATGGGAAAAAAATCAGAAGTGAAAAATAATTCGAAGGAAGAATTGGCAAAATACAGTAAGTGACCGAATAGGAAATAGATGCTGATTTTTTTCTGAATCCCCAGTACTTAGCACAATGCCTGGCACTGTACTAGATACACGAGTATTCTCTGAAGGACTGACCAGCATTCATACAGCATACTTTTTACATACATTAGCTCATTTAGCCCTCACAACAGTTTTGTGGAGCTGGTATAATAGACACCATTTTGTGTATGAGGATACTGGAGATCAGAAAGAAGTGTACCCAAGTTCATCTAGTTAAAAATGTGGCAGAATTGGGCCTTGAACCAAAGTATTTAATTACAAATACCATGTCCTTTTTCCTATCCCATATAGGCCGCTCAGATGAAGGAGGGAAAAGGCTAGAGGAAGGAGAAGTCGAGATTTAAAAAAAAAAAAAAACCTCCATGATTTAAAGTAGTAGTTAACCAGGGGTAAATGTGTGTGTGTGTGTGTGTGTGTGTGTGTCTAAAGAGCACAGTTAAGCACACAGGATAAAATGCTAACATTTGGGGAATTTGGGTGAATGTCTACATGAGAATTCTTTGTGTTATTTTTGCAACTTTTTATAAGTCTGAAATTGTCAAAATAAAAAGTTAGAAAATAAAAATAAAAAATGAAATAGTAATTAATACTCCCATGAGGTCACTGACAAGACTGATAAGAAGACAAGACAAGGAATTATTTCATCAGGGGAATTTGTTAAGGCTGTGGAGAGTCTGCCTGCTTAGGCAAGTACAGAAAAGGAACTAATAATGCTTCTGTGAGAGAATTCAGCTGAACATACAGATTAAAATATCATCCCCTACTGGTGACAGTGGAGTCATAAGAATAGATAAATTCTCAGGGGAAGTGACCAGAAGCGATAACTAAGCCCTGTAATTAACTATATCACATGTAACAGCAGGCAGAATGACATGGTCCCTGAACAATGGCTGAAAAAATATCCTATGGAAAACAGCAAAATCACCACCAGTCTGAAAGAACAGCACAGCCCTTTATTTAATTTTTTTGGTTAACACAGTGTTTTCTAGAACAGGATATAATCCTGACATTGTGAATCATTCAAATCAAGTGTACCCAGATTAGTCCTCTCAAATGATGCTGGTCAAAGTATAAATTGGCACAATTTTTCTTGATAGAAAAGACTTAATTACAATCTTAAAAACACCCAGTCTCTGGGCTTCCCTGGTGGCGCAGTGGTTGAGAGTGGCGCAACGGGAGAGGCCACAACAGTGAGAGGCCCGCGTACCGCAAAAAAAAAAACAAAGAACACCCAGTCTCTGGATCTAGTACTTCATCTAAGAATTTACCCAAAAACCCCCAAAAAAACAAGCAAAGGGAAATAATCAGAGATATTAACAAAGGTATTTACACAAAGGGATTAATCACAGTTTTTCTGACCCCCCCTAAAATAAACCCACATATAGAAATGTCTAAAGCAGGGGGGAAATGGCAAGCAAATT